ATCACTGTCCTGCTTGCTCCTATGGACACTCTCAATGACCTCATGATACCCCCAGTCCATTCCACAGAACTCTGTTCTCAGGCATCAGCACCCTGCTTGCTCCCTCCCCTACCAGGCTTCCCCCCACATAGTCTGCCTCTGACATTTGGCCCTTTCCAGGCATCTGTCCTTAACAGATTTTTTTTTTTTTTTTTGGATATCTTTTTTTTTTTTCTGGAAACAATGATCTCTCTTAAGTACCAGGATAACATGCACTTAGTCTTTTTTTTTTTTTTTTTTTTTTTTTGCTCTGAATGCCTTCAGGGCAGGTTTGGCTGGCTTGAGTTGTGGGAATCAAACCGCAGCAGCCTGACTGCTTTGTTGAAGCAGCCACTTAAAGAACTGAGCTGCAGGGCAGGCCCCCAAGGATTTTTTTTTTTAATTTTTTTTTTTTTTTGCACTTAGTCTTTTTGAGCCTCTTGGGCTGCTCCTTTTGTCCCCTTTGGGATTCTGTCTCCACTGCTCCAGGTTCTCTCCCAAGGTGTCTTCTCAGCTTGGCCCACTTGAGCCTTGTCCAGGTTGTAGCTTCGATCCCCAGCTCTACCTTGCTGGCTCCCGACTCTGTCCCTCTCTTCACATTGTAGTTTCAACTGCATCTTAGTAACCTCCATGTGGAAATATTTCTAATGTAGCTTCTCAAAAGTTGAATGCAGCCAGGTGTGGTGGTACATACCGGTAATCCCTGTACTTTGGGAGGCTGAGGCAGGAGGGTCAAAGTTTCAAGAACAGCCTGAGCAGCTTAACATCTCAGTGAGACTGTGATGGCTTGTGTCTAGTTGTCCCTCCAAAGCCTCATGCAGTCACTGGGGCAGCTTCTAGAGTTTGTGATTAATTCATAGTCCAATACTGGGATTATGGGTGTGAGTGCTATGCATGCCCTGTGGTGGACAGCTTGAGTACAGTATGGGGAGGGGAGAGAGGCTTGCTAGCTGCCAGTAGCTGCTGCTCCTCCTTTTTGTCTTTTCTGTTTTCTGCCACCATGAACAGCTACCCTCTACCATGTGCCATCTGTCTTGGAGCCAGCTGAGTATGGACTGAAACCGCTACTAACTCTGAGCTAAATAAACCTTTCCTTCCCTCATTTTGGGTGTCAGGTGTTTTGTCCCAGCAACAAGAGAAAAGCAACCAAGACAGAATTTGCTACCAGGAATGGACTGGTGCTGTGACTACCTGATCGTATCAAGAGCCTTTGAGAATGGCCTATGGTAAGAGATAGAAAAGGTTCAAAGATGTGGCCTGAAAGAGAAGTGCTGCGATGCCTTCGGCTGTTCTCTGTGGGAGCTTTTGGTCAGAGCTCAGAAGACCAGAATGCAGATAGAAATCCTGCCTGTGAAGACCAGGCTGGGGAGGTTTCTGCTGGGAAAAGGACTGCATTGGTTGTTGGACTCCAGGTGATATGTGTTATGACTTGGCAGAAAGTTTGTCTGCATTTTGCTCATGTTCAAAGACTTTGCCTTAGACTGAAATTAAGGGCAGTGGGGCTGGGGAGATGGCTCAGTAGGATAAGTGCTTGACTGGCAAACGCAAGGATCTGAGTTCAATCCCCAGTTCCGCCAAAAAAAAAAAAAAAAAAAAAAAAAAAGAAATAAATCTTTAAGGGGCTGGTGAGATGGCTCAGTGGTCTAAAGCACCTAAGCTAAGCAAAGCACAGGGACCGCGGTTCAATCCCCCAGCACCACCACCATATGCCAGCCAGCCTCGCCCCCTGGTGGGCTGAGCTGGACGCACACGCACACACGTAAATAAAAAATAAAAAAAAAAAAAAAGAAAAAAAAGAAATTAAGGGCAGTGTATTGATTAATCTTGCAAAAGAAATTTCAAGGCAGTTGAATATTGAGGCAGTGGTATGGCAATTGTTAGGGCTTTTAGTGAGATTCACATTGAGAATCAAGAGCAAAGAACCCAGCAGGATGATTTAAAATGTTGTGAGTTTGGCCAGAAAGGAAGCTCCAATAAAGCTGTGGAATGCAAAGATAGAGCTGAGGAGATCTCCACTGCTAAGGAGAAACAAGAGAATAGAAAGGATGGCCTGAGGCATCGTAGGAGGTGGCAGATTTGCAGTCTCAGAACTGCAAGGGTGAGGGACTGTGCTTTGAGGAGAAAGCCTGCAGAGTGGTGGCAGCCACATCAGGTTCCAGAATGGTGGTGTTATATAATATTTGTTCCTTGAAATCAAGGTCAGAGTGATTAGAAATCCAGGCACTTGACCCCAACAGCCAAAAGAGAAGAAATCTGGCTACTGCTCCAGCTAGCAGTAGAGCTCGGCATCATCCACATGGTGTTGGTTTTAGGTGCATGCAGAATGTAGGAATTCTGGGCCAGGGAGATGGCTCAGTAGAATAAGCACTTCCCTGGCAAGCACAAGGGCCTGAGTTCAATCCCTGGTTCTGAAAAAAAGAAAAAAAAGGAATTCTGAGGTTACGAAGGCTTCCACCTGGAAGGCCTGGGAAGCCAAGCAATTGCTCCTGGGAGGGCAGTGTGTGAAGCAGAGAGTGAGAGGCCTAATGTGCAGTGGAAACCCCAGAAGTTTGGAAAAGCCAGGAACATGGATCATCTAAGGAAAGATGCAAGGAGGGAGCAAAACTGGCCTAAGAGAGAAGCCATGGGAGCTACCACAAAAAGTGGCATAGAGGTGGAGCCACATGGAGATCACAGCTTGCCACAGATTGCTTCAGATGTTCCATGTGGAATGGTAGGACTTAATGTTGGCCCTTCTGGATTTTGGACTTGCTTTGGTCCCAGTGCTTTGTATCCTGCTGTCTACCTTTTGGAATGGTAATGTTTATCTTGTACTATTGAATGTTGTCAGTTTTTAACTTTTCATTTGTATAGAGGCTCATAGCTAAGAGTTTGCCTTAGATCTTGGAGGAGACTTGGGACTTGGACTTTCCAGCAATGCTGAAACTATTAGGACTTTGACAACTCTTAGAGATGGACTAAAATGCCTTTTACATAAAGGGATGTGCATGAGTCTTTAGGGGGCCGGGGTGGAACATTGTGGTTTTTGTCTAGTTGTCCCCCCAAAGCCTCATGCAGTCACTGGGGCAGGCTTCTAGAATTTGTGAATAATTCATGATCCAGTGCTGGGATTATGGGTGTGAGTGCTATGCATGCCTGGGGGCAATCTGCATAATGTATGGGGAGGGCAGAGAGGCTTGCTAGCTGCCAGCAGCTGCTGCCCCTCCTTTTGCTCTTTGCTGTTTTCTGCCCTCTGCCAGGTGTCACTTGGCCTTGGAGCCAGCTGAGAATGGGCTGAAACCTCCACTAACTCTGAGCTAAATAAACCTTTCCTACTCTAATTTTGGGAGTCAGGTATTTTGTCCCAGCAATGAGAAGAATAACTGAGACAGAGACCTTGTTTTAAAGTGAAAAATAAAGAGTGAAGTGTGGGTGGGAGGGCATCTGGGGATGTAGCTCAGTGTGAAAGCCTTGAGTTCAGTCCCCAGTAAAGCAAAGCAAAACAAAACAAACAATACTCACTGTCTGTATTTTCCCATTTCAATAAATGGTCCTACCCTCTGTTCAGCTGGTCAAACAGAACCCTCAAGCCTTTTTTACTTGCGTATTTTTTTTGGTACCAGGAATTAGATGAAGGAGCACAGTACCTGAAGGTACATCCTCAGCCATTTCTATCTTTTATATTGAGACAGGGTCCTGCTGCCTTGGTGAACTGCCTAGACTGGGCTTGAAGCTGGGATCCTCCTCTCTCGTCCTTCTAAGGTTGGGGTTACTGATTCACAGCACTGTGCACACCTGAGAGACCTCTTCTTTAGGACTTTTCTCTATTGCTGGGGAT